ATTCTTCACTGCCTACAAGTTATCGTCCCATTGCGCTGACCAGTTGTCTCGGCAAAATGTATGAGAGGCTGATAAATAAGCGACTAGTGCACTTTTTGGAGGCTGGAAAAATTTTAGATACAAATCAATGTGGATTTAAATTTGGTCGCTCAACTTTAGATTACCTTGTTTGCCTGGAAACTTCCATATGTGAAGCTTTTGTACATCGACAGCACTGTGTGTCGGTATTCTTCGACCTAGAGAAGGCTTACGACACTACTTGGCATTATGGGATTCTCAAGGACTTGCACATATTTGGCATTCGTGTCCGAATACTGCATTGCATGCAAGATTTTCTTACTAACCGAATTTTTCAGGTTAGGTTTGGCTCCATACTATCTGATGTTTTTCTCCAAGAAAATGGGGTCCCCCAAGGAGGTGTATTGAGCATTACTCTGTTTGCAGTGAAGATAAACAGCCTCACTGCAGCGATACCACCATCTGTCTCCTGTTCGTTATATGTAGACGATGTGCAGATTTCCTTTTCTTCCTGCAACCTCTCGAGCTGGAGCGCCAACTGCAGGTCTCTATAAATAAAATGAGTAAATGGGCCGATAAAATGGGTTTAGATTTCCTCCTGAAAAGACAGTATGCGCGCCCTTTTCACTGCGGCGTGGCCTCTCACTTGAGCACAGTTTACAACTCAACAGTATATCTGTTCCTGTAAAGCAAGAGCACAAATTTTGAGTTGTTTTTGACAAGAAACTTACATTTTTGGCCCATATCAAGGAACTAAAGAAGTGCCTGCAAGCATCTAATATCCTCAAAGTGCTTTCCCACATGTCTTGGGGGTCTGACAGTCCGATCATACAATGCCCTGGTTTGTTCCCGTCTGGACTATGGTGCGATTGTGTATGGATCAGCACGGGAATCTGTTTTAAAAATGCTAGATCCTGTCCATCATCTTGGCCTTCGACTTGCTACCGGAGCTTTTCGGACTTCGCCTATAATGAGCTTGTATGCAAACGCTCATCAAATTTCTTTAGGAAAAAGGAGCCATTATCTTATCCTTTGTTATGGATACAAAGTTAAATCTGACCCTGCACATCCCGCCTTTAGCTGTGTACAGACTTCCTCTCTTACGACTTTTTGAAAACAAGCCAAGCATTGTGCGACCATTAAGCTTTCGGCTTCAAAGTATTTCAACCTCCCTGCAGCTTACAATCCCTGAGAATAGCATGATTACAAGGGCCGAGAGCACTCCTTCCTGGAGTGCAGTAAAAGTTTCATGCAACTGGTCACTGGCCAGATTTTATAAGAAATCAGTCGAACCTCTTGTGATTCAGCAGGAGTTTTAAGCGTTGCTGGAGAAATATCAAGATTACCTACAATTTTATACCGATGGTGCCAAAACCTCATCCTACGTAGGTTCTGCAGTGTTTTCACCACAATACAAGAAAGCAAGACGTATCGATAGCATTGCATGTATTTTTACTGCTGAGCTTTATGGTATAATGATGGCCCTTGAACATATCTTTGAGAATCATGTGATGAAAGCTATTTTGTTTGTTGACTCTCAGAGTACCCTGCTCTCAGTTTGCTCTCTTACCGACACCAAAAACTGGCTTACACAACAAGTGCGTGTAAAGATGCACCATGCTCTCCTACTTGGATTCGATATTAAACTCTGCTGGGTACCGAGCCATGCAGGAATTATCGGTAATGAGGGGGCAGATAAGCTAGCCACTTCTATCAAGGATAAGATTAAAATATCTCTTAAACTGCCATATGAAGATTTTAAGCCAGCTTTCAGAAGAGCAATTAATAAGGTATGGCAGTCGGAATGGGATAGGGAAATTCACAATAAACTACACATCATCAAACCTTGTTTGGAGGTGTGGGAGAGTTCCCATCACAAGAATCGTTACCATGAAGTTTTGATGTCCCGATTGAGGATTGGCCATTCGCACTTGACACATCTGCGTTTGCTTTGTGGTGAAGATGCTCCACAGTGTGAGCACTGCGGCAAAGTAGTGACTGTATTACACATATTGTGGAATTGCATGCACCTGCATGAACAGCGGCGGGCATGTTTTCCAGAACTTTTTAGATGTCATCTTCCGTTCCACCCTGCCTTCCTTCTCGGTGATCAACCTCTAGTCCCTTTTCGGCATGTTTTAAAATTTCTTAAAGTAACTGGCTACATACACTGGTTGTGACTTTTATTCGTAAAATATATCACTCCCATTGTAGGTATTTTAAAATGTTGTAGATTATGGTCAGTGTGTAATCCTAAAATTCATAGACATAGTAATTTTTTCTACCCAAAACTCATGTTTATGTGATACACGACTCATATTCATAATCTTATAAGATCATCAGCTACTATAGCTCTGTTTCTTCAGCCCTTGTTTCTGCAATAGTTTATGCACTTGACGCATTTTGGCCCTGGTAGCTCTCGCGCCAGAAAACTCAAATCAATCAATCAATCAATTGCCGCACAGTCAACTTTCCAGAGGACAGCCCCGACGTGGCTGCAAACTCTTGCCTTGCCAGCCATGCACGTGCTCCCATCAGTTATCACCTCACCATCTTTTTTTGCACAACTCCATGCATCATTGGGCCTGTTCACAGACTACGAACCTTGAACAGTTCCTTTTAGTAGAAGTGTGCACGGGTCAATCTCATGCACCAGCAGTGCTCCGACCCAGCCGCTTTGCACATAGTTGTAAGAGTCGAGGCTCTTGTACGCCTTGACTTCCTCCAAGTCGCAGGCCTTGATCTTGAGAAAATAGTAAACTATTTGTGGGGAACGAATTTCTGGCCACTTCTTTAGGTTGTGCTCCCATGTAGTTATGCAGCTTGGATGTGAATAAAGGCGGTTCTCTGAAAATAAAAGATACCACACAAAATTAGGGTAATGGTAGTTAGTGGTATTAGAGTTCCACCTTCCACCAATATCGGCACATAAAAAAAGCATGTAGGCAGAATAGAAACGGACTTTTACAAGTGCAGTAACAGGCTTCGACAAGTAAATTGTAGAACAAATTTTGCAGCTTGTGGTGCAAATGTAAGATTGTGGGTGTAATGATTGTTACTGGCTACTCAAGTTTTGTTTTTCATTCCGTTGATTCCTACGAGGATGTGCGCTATAATTTTGTATGTTGCTCTCAAAGCTACAAGAAGCAACGTATTTTTACGGGTAACGACGGCCGTTAAAATACGTTAAGGGAAACAATACGAAAAAAGGAACGCAAAATCGCCGTCGCCCCCCCCCCCCCCCCTTCATTCCCATCTGAATAGTTCCGACGCACCTGGGCGTTACTCCCGCAGGGGGCACCTGTGAAAGCAGGTGTTTGGAGAGTGGCGTCTCTACGGACCCCGAGCCCCGCAGGGGGCGCCTGCACCTTAGGTGCTAGGTGCTTGGTGAGTAGCGTCACCACGGACCCCAGCCACGTGGGCCACCATACCCGCACGCAGGGGGCACCTACTTTAGTAGGTGATTGGTGAGTGGCGTCACTGCAAACCCCCCCCCCCCACCCACGTCTGGCTGTGTGTGGCGTACCCGTGTCCGGGGAAAAGGGGACCCTGGTGGTTGAGCTGAGCCCGGGGTATGTTTGGACCCTTCGGGGCCCCCCAAGCGAGGCAATACACCGCTTCGGCCCCTGCTTCTCGTAGACGGGTGTCCTGGCTTGGCCCGACCAGGATGATTCAGTCAGTCGCCTCTTCTACCCTCTTCTTCCTTCTTTCACTTTTCCTCCCACCTCCCTCTCTTTTCTTCTACACTCTCTTCCTTCCTTTTTCACCTTCTTAGGCGGCAAGGGCCAACCTTGAGTGGAAACAGGTTCTGTCCCTGCAACCACGCTAGGGTATAGTGCCCGGGCAGCACTGGTAGAGTAATTGTGTCAGCCAAGCCCATCTTGCTATGGCACATTACCTACCCCCTTGTTGGGCTCCGTGGTGGGCGGTGCACCCGGCCACTGAATTTCCCTCCCATCTTTAAGGGTTCCAGAACTAAACCACCTGATCGGGCCTTGAAAAGGACCCGCACGGAAGTCCTTGACATTCCAACTAAGACTCCTGATCTTTTCAAATTCCCAAAGTTTCTTGTTTCGCACTCCGAAAATGAAAAGCCACTCGGCAAGCTGTCCCCCTTCCTTGTAGCCAAGGTACTAGAAGGCGTTGTTGGTAAGAACTTTCATGCAAAAAAAATGGCATCCGGAGACCTCCTTGTAGAGATCAGTACGAAACAGCAAAGTGATGCCCTCTTGGCACTCAACTCTGTTTCGGACTACGAAGTCACTGTTACTCCGCATCGCAAATTGAATACTGTCCAAGAGGTTATTTCCGAGGACGACCTGCTAGACACATCAAACGCAGAGCTGGTGGAGGGCCTCTCCAGCCAAGGAGTTGTCGCTGCGCGACGAATCAATATTCGTCGTGATGGCAACGAACGAAAAACGAAGCACATCATCCTACCCTTTGACAGCACCACTCTCCCTGCGACTGTAAAGGCAGGCTACCTCCAGTGTAGAGTCCGACCCTATGTGCCGAACCCCCAACGGTGCTTCAAGTGCCAGCGGTTCGGCCATGGGTCACGTAGCTGTCGGGGGGCCGACACATGTGCTAAGTGCTCAAAGGGGCACTGATACCCCAAAGGTCGTATTTTTTTTATTGTCTAAAACGATGCAAGTTGCAGTCATAGACATGCAAAAAAAAAACTTACCGCGAAAAAAAAAAATTTTCGCGCGCGCGCGCGCCCCTTTTTATTTTTGGCGTTTGATTCTCCCGCCTCTAGCCTCCTTGCTTCTTTTGATCGGTGACGTCAAAAATCATGAAATTTAGAAGCTTTGTAGGCTACATTTCTATAACATTTAATACCGGCATTCGTAAAACATGTTTTTTCATGCAATTTTGAACGTACTGCGCACATTCTTTTGAAATATCCGAAATCGGGAGTCCGGAAGTTATGCGGCCTCCTGGCTTTTTGTCCACCCTCAGTTAACATGGCGGAGCTCGGCATCTGTAGCAGGCTAGCAGTGAGAGCCGGAACTCGGGTAGCAGTGACCATAGTGAGGATGGTCGGAGAATCGGACGAAGTTCCCTTTTCGGTGCCCGATGACCTCTCAGACTTTGAAAAACAAATAGTCGAACGATTGAAACAACTGGGTTTGGTGCCTTACGATACCCCTGATCGGGAACGGGACGATCCGGATGACGCCGTCGCCGAGTCGTCGGAGCTCTCGCCCCATCCTGATTTGTGGCGTCTCGACAACACTGACTGGTGAGACCAATCTAAAAGTCATAGATCAGTTCACCCAAGTGATATTGTTATTTCGTGGCCTTCACTAGGTGCAGCTGCAGCCGATGTGCTGTGTTGCCCAGCTTCGTGCCCGACGAGTGCCGCTGCTGCAGGGATATGGGTCCCAAGTTGACTCGGATTCAGCGCCTGCGCTGCATCACGACGCACGAGGAGTTTCCCCTGGTGTGCCTCAACCTAGTGATGCTCAGGCTAGCCTACTTCGAGTTGCACGACCGAAGATTCGCCATGCACCACGACATGCATAGGTAATATATTCTGTATACTTGACTCGGCGAAGTTGATGCGATCTATCGGGCGTTCACGTTGGCCCTCTGAAGTGACCGAATAGATTGGCTTTTTAACGTGTCACGCTGCTATTTATAGAGGTGCCCACAGGTGGTTGGTAGATTAATTATTTCAAAGTAACACACATAACACTCGTAAAAAAATGTTCACAAATTTTTGCTAAGGCATTTTTTCGAAGTTATCAAGATTAATTTTGGGCCATTGTTGCGTTTATTACAACTGCTAAATGGGTCGAATAGATTCTACCCACCATGTGACGGAAGAAACTGGGACTCTTCTAATGTTGTGATCTATTTTTTTTTTTTTTCTTCCAGGCGTTATAGGTATGTTGCCTATCGCCGATTTGTGCGCTGGGTGTGGGGGCGACTTGGCAGGGGCAACAGGTTTGTCCTGCCTTCTTGTGTTGTGCGGACAATCAGGGAGGCATTTCCTTGTGAGGAGGAGACGGGGTTTAGGTACCCAAGGTTTCCAAGGTGAGTCTTGGTGCAACAATTTTACTTATGTTCATTTTCATATGCCACAAAACAACTATGCAGTTTTCATTTCGTTGCATAAACCAACAGATGAAAAAATCGAAATATATTAAGTACCATACAGTTTTCATTTCGTTGCCTAAACCAACAGATTAAAAAATAGAAATATATTGAAGCACTATACAGTTTTCATTTCGTTGCATAAATTAACAGATGAAAACATAAAAATATATTGAAGCGGGAGCAAGCATTACACAATATATACAAGGCCATGTCGCTGCTCTACAGCAGAAAAATACAGTTGACAAGAGAATGAACACTGAGAAAAGTTTGATGTCGTCTGTGAACAGCACCCCGCAGGGGGCACCTGTGAAAGCAGGTGTTTGGAGAGTGGCGTCTCCACGGACCCTGAGCCATGCAAGTTCGCCTGCCCACGTCTGGCTGTGCGTGGCTTTCCCGTGTCCGGGGAAAAGGGCATCCTGGTGGTTGAGCCGAGCCCGGGGTAGGTTTCGACCCTTCGGGGCCCCCCGGGCGAGGCAATACACCACTTCGGCCCCTGCTTCTCGTAGACGGGAGCCCTGGTAAGGCCCGGCCAGGATGATTCAGTCTAGTCGCCACTTCTACTATCCCCTCCCTACTTTCACCCTTGTCTTCCCCTCCTTTTCACTCTTCTCATTTCTCTTCTTTCCTTTTTCAACTTCTTTGGCGGCAAGGGCTAACCTTGGGTGGTGACAGACCCCTTGTCCAGAACCACACTTGGTTATAGTTCCTGGGCAGTGCTAATAGCATAACGTCTCCAGCAAAGCCCTTTTTGTTATGGTGCGTTATCTATTCCCTTGTTGGGCTCCGTGGTGGGCGGCACACCACAGGTTCCGAACAAACTTCGCCTCTTATGGCTGCCTCCTCTTCTAAACCCAACACGGTGCGCCCCCCTAAAAGGGGTTGCTCCGTACTTACTTTTGAAAAAGCATCTGAACCACCAAAGTTTCCAAGATTTTTTGTCCTTCAAGCCCTTGATGAAGAAAAGCCACTGGCTAAGCTCTCGCCTTTGCTTGTATCTAAATGCCTTGATGCCATCATTGGCAAAGCTTTCAAGGCGAAAAAGCTTTCTGGCAATCTTCTCGTAGAAGTAGAAACTGAAGTTCAAAGCAGGACACTTCTAAAACAGACATGTCTAGGAGAACACAAGATAAAGGTCAGCCCACACCGGACACTGAACAGTGTCCGAGGTGTCATCTCCGAGGCTGATCTCATTGACTGCGGTGAGGACGAAATTCTGGCTGGACTCCAGAAACAGGCTGTGGTGGCCGTCAAGTGAATCACCATCCGCAAAGACGGGCAGGAGCAGCCAACCAAGCATCTGATACTGACCTTTGAGCTGCATACGCTTCCTACGACCGTTAAAGCTGGTTATTTTTACTGCAAAGTCCGGCCTTTCATTCCCAATCCACAAAGATGTTTCCGATGTCAGCGCTTCGGGCATGGCTCACGGAACTGTTAGGGCCGTGAAACTTGCGCAAAGTGTGGCAGCAACGACCATGTTGCTGACATTTGTGAGAATACTCTCAAATGTGTCAACTGCCAAGGCAATCATGCTGCTTATGCCAGAACATGCCCACAATGGAAACAAGAAAAAGAAATTCTAACCCTGAAAGCACAAAAGAACATTACCTACCAGGAGGAAAAACAACCGTATTCCTTTTTTGCAAAAGGAACTTTTACCCAAGCGGTGCAAAGGGGACCAGCACCGCGAACAGAATCGAAGGCCACCCAGGTCTCGCCTGAGGTCCTGGCAGTGGCTCTTCAGTCCCCAACCCCCCAGCAGCGGCAGCAGCTTCCTCCGGTTTCTGGAGGGAGCGCGCCAGCTGCTTCCCGACCACGGGACAGGCAGGGAACCCCTCTGTCTGTCCCCACTCCGAGGGCCCCCGCCAGGGAGGAGGAGCGAGAGTCTCGCCCCAACTCACGGGAGAGGGCCTTGTCCGAGGAGCGGCATCGCGCCGCTCTTTCAACAGCTGAGGGGCAGGGACGGATGGAGTTGGGCGACACTCAGCCCAGCACCTCCACTGCTGCTCCTTTGAATGAGGGCGGTCGTGGCCGGGGAGTTCGGCCCCGTGCCTCGACATTGCCCAGACCTATGCAACAAGCCTCGTCTCAAGAGGTGGAGGCGAAAGACGAGGCCACCGAGCTTTCCGCTCTTTCGTCCGACCAGGACAACATGGAGTGGGAGACAACCAAATCTAAGAAAAAAACAAAAAAGCCAGTAATTCCACCAACATAGTTTTTTGTGGGAACTACATTTTTGGATTGGATTTAATTGACTGTGTTCCGTATACCTTCATCTACTTCTGATATTAATGCCTCCACTTCTTCAATGGAACTGTCGAGGCTTACTTGCAAACTATGATGATGTTACTGACCTGCTAGAGGAGCACAGTCCTATTGCCTTCTGTTTGCAAGAGACTCACCTGAAGGAAAGTCACTCGAAAATCCTGAAGCATTTCCAGCTGTTTCGCAAAGATCGTCAACATTCAAGCCATTCGTCTGGAGGTTCTGCTGTTGTTTTACAACGCTCAGTCCCTTGCACTGAAGTTCCCTTAAGGGAGGACGCGGGCTTTGAAAACCGAAAAATCGCGAAAAAGTCGATTTTTAGAAAACTTTATTTTTCGGTTGTATATCTCATAAACTACCTTCTCTGTAATTATCAGCACCAAATACAACGGGGAAATATTTAAAAACAATTATTTACGAGGCCTGAGTAGCATCCAAGCGACGGTCAAACGTCAAAATCAACCCCAACTTCGCGCGCTCGCCATTTCCGACGCGTTCGGCCGACAGCCGCCATCTTAGTCTTGTTTTGAACGTGAATTCTTTCTCTTTTTTTTGCCAGCTCCCAAAATGGCGTCGGCCGCGTGGTTACGGCGTGATCGCCGTTCTTCCATGTCGCAATCGCAAGAACGCGATTGGACAGAGCGCGCGCTGGAGGAGCGTGCGGGGGAGCGTGCGACTGCTATTGGCTGGGACGCGATTTCTCCGCGCGCGGAGCGCTCTTCTCCTCTTCCGTTTCTCCTGCTGTTGCCGCTCGCGTCGTCTGCTTTTGGTAGTGGTCTGCTTGCACGCGCTCTTGCTTTGTCAGCTCCGCTTCGTTTTTCGCCATCTTTACGATCGTTTTCCGAACTTTCTTTGAGTAGTTTCGTGTAGCGTGCCCGTCTGTTTCGTGGTCGCACATGATGCGGGGTTCGAAGTACAAGACGGTGCGCGCGTTTGGCGCGCGGAAGCGGTCCATGAAGTTAGTGCGGATGGCGAAGTTGGAAGTTTCTGCACGGCGTGCCGTCAATGATGATCGCGTCAACACTTCAAGTGATGGATTTTCTGTGCCATCGGCTGTCGTCGAGGAAGAACGCATCGCCCCGCTCACGCCTGGAGTACCGAGCATGCCGACCGTTGTGGTTCCTCCCGAGATCGCGGGTCCCAGCGCCCGTCTTCCGCCTGCCGCGACAAGTGGGAGCGCGTCTTCCAGCACCCATTTGCGGACACATTTCCTGACACGTGAGGAGATCGAAGCAGAAGCTAGACATCGTGATACCGTTCAAGTCGACCTTGGAGCTATGCCAGCAACCCAGAGGAAGTTTGAAGCCATGCTGCCCGATCCCACGCCTGCCTCTGCTACAGGCCAAGGTGAGAAGTTCTGCCTTGTTCAGATCGACGTTTTGAGCAACCTGCTCTGCTGCACAGTGTGCAAGCATTGCTCGGGGACTGGATTGACTGTCCAAGAAGGCACCAAACTCGGACTGGCAGCAAAACTCGAGCTTGTATGCCCCCATTGCGGCATTATTGCAAGTTCCTGGACTTCGCCACGCCAGCAAGACTCGAGGGCCTTCGAAGTCAACATCCGCTCCATCGTGGCAATCAAGCAGATAGGAAAGGGGCAGACAGCTCTCAATGACTTTTGGGCAGCTATGAACGTCTCCCACAGAGGTCTCCACCACAAAACGTTCCAAGAGCACCTGAAGAAGACCTTCAGAGAGCCAGAGGCCCTGTGCGTGGAAAAGTTTTATGCCGAGTCAGCTGTCGCGGTGAAGACAGCCTGTAAGAAGATGGACCCGGGGTTCTGCAAGGATGTCACCGTGGTGTATGACGGCACATGGCACAAGAGAGGGCACACATCTCACATCGGAGTTGGGTCAGTCATAGAATACCACACAGGCCTCATCTTGGACGCCGTGGTTTTATCCAACCTGTGCCTTGGGTGCCAAACAGGACCCAAGCCTGGAGATCAAGGGTACGACAGCTGGCACATGCATCATGTCTGCCAGAAAAACACGGACGCCAAATCTGGGAGGATGGAGGTCGAGGCGGCCCTGACCCTCTTCAAGCGCTCTGTCTCCAAGCACGACCTGCGGTATGCAGCACTTGTCTCCAACGGGGACAGCAGGACCTTCTCTGCCCTTACAGAAGAGAACGTCTACGGGCTAGTCCCCATCGTGAAGGAAGAGTGTTTGAACCATGTTCAGAAGAGAATGGGAACGGCACTGCGCAACCTTGTCCAGAAGAGCAACAAGCCGTTGAGCGGCAAGGGCAGGTTGACGAAGGCCCTTATCGACAAGCTTACCGACTACTATGGCTGGGCCCTCCGAAACAACTCCAAGGACGTGGCAGCGATGCAGCGTGCTGTTATGGCCACCTACCATCATGTCACATCGACTGACCAGGAGCCTCACCATGAACTCTGTCCGGAGGGAGCTCAATCGTGGTGCCGTCATAGAGTTGCCGAGGCAAAAGGTGAGCCACAGCCCCAGCACAAGCACAAACTCCCAGCCTACGTCGCTGCAGCTATGCTGCCCGTCTACCAACGCCTGTCGCAGGTTTCTCTGCTTCAACGCTGCTTGGGAGCAAAGACTCAGAATGCATCTGAGTCTTTCCACTCTGTCCTGTGGTCTTTGATGCCTAAGGAACAGCATGCATCGCTGATCGCTGTCGAAACTGCACTGCATGAAGCGGTG